TTTAAGGATGCCTGGAACATGGGGTTGCCTCCCTGACCATCTTGGCTAATAGCCATTGATGGACCTTCCTCCATGAACTTATCTAATTCCTTTTTGAACCCATTTATACTTTTACCTTCACAACAGCCCGTGGTAATGAGTTGCACAGTTTGTGTGTGTGTGTGTGTGTGTGTGTGTGTGTGTGTGTGTGTGTGTGTGTGAAGAAGTACTTCTTTATGTTTGTTTTAAACCTACTGTTTTGTTTTAAAACTGCCTATTAATATCATCAGATGATTTTTAGTTCTAGTATTATGTGAAGGGTTAATAACACTTCCCTATTCACTTCCTCTTTCTCATGCATGATTTCATAGACCTCTATCATATCCCCACTAAGGTGTGTCTCTTCTAAGCTGAACAGTCCCCGTCTTTTTAGTGGTTCCATACCCCAACTCATTTTTGTTGCCCTTCTCTGCACCTTTTCCAATTCTAATATATCTGTTTTGAGATGGGGTGACCAGAACTGCACACAGTATTCAAGGAGTAGGTGTATCATGGTTTTATATAGTAGCATTATGATATTTTCTGTTTTATTATTTATCTCTTTCCTAATAGCTTGTACCATTGTTACCTTTTTTTGAGTGCCACTGAACCCTGAGATAATGTTTTCAGAGAACTATCCACAATGTCACCAAGATTTCTTTCTAATTTAGAAAGAAACAGCTAATTTAGACCCCATCATTTAGTACATTTAGTTAGGATTGTTTTTGCTAATGTGCATGACTTTGCACTTTTCAACATTGAATTTCATCTGCCATTTTGTGACGTAGTGACCCAGTTTAGTGAGATCCCTTTGTAGCTCTTTGCAGTGAGCTTAGGACTTAACTATCTTGCATAATTTTGTATCATCTGCACATTTTTCCATGCCACTGTTGACCCACTTTTCCAGATCATTTATGAATATGTTGAATATCACAGGTCCAAGCACAGATCCTTAGGAGAACCTGCTATTTACCTGTCTCTCTGTTGTAAAAGCTGGCCATTTACTCTTACACTTTGTTTCCTATCTTTTAACCAGCTAGTGACCCATGAAAGGACCCTCCCTCTTACCCCATGACTGCTTAGTTTGGTTATGAGCTTTTAATGAGGGACCTTGTTAAAGGCTTTCTGAAAGTCCAAGTAGGCTATATCAACTGGATCACTCTTGTCCACATGTTTGTTGGCGTCCTCAAACAATTCTGATAAATTGGTGAGGTATAATGTCCCTTGACAAAAGCCGTGTTGATTCTTCCCCAACATATCATGTTTATTGGTGTGTCTGATTATATTGTTCTTTACTATAGTTTCAACCAATTTGTCTGGTACTGAAGTTATGCTTACCGGCCTGTAATTGCCAGAATCGCCTCTGGAGATTTTTTTAAAATTGGCATTATGTTAGCTACTCTTCTGTTATCTGGTACAGAGGCTCATTTAAGCAATAGGTTACATACCACAGTGAGTAGTTCTTCAATTTCATATTTGAGTTCCTTCAGAACTCTGGGGTGAACACCATCGGGCCTGGTGATTTAGTACTATTTTAATTTATCAGTTTGTTCTAAAACCTCCTCTATTGACACTTCAATCTGGGACAGTTCCTCAGATTTGTCACATAAAAAGAATAGCATAGCTGTGGGGGGTCTCCATATCCCATATCCTCTGCAGCAAAGACCAATGTAAAGAGTCCTTGAGTGCTCCTTGATCATCCAATGGTCCCATTGACTGTTTGGCAGGCTTCTTGTTTCCAATGTAATTAGCTAGTTGCTCTTCAAATTCTTTTTTGGTTTGCCTTATTATACTTGTCAGAGTTTATGCTCCTTTCTATTTTCCTCACTAGGATTTGACTTCCAGTTTTTAAACAATGCCTTTTTGCCTCTAACCACCTCTTTTACTCTATAGTTTAGCCATGGTGGCACTTTTTGGTCCTCTTACTGTGTGTGTGTGTGTGTGTGTGTGTTTTTTTTTAATTTGGAGTATACATTTAGTTTAAAAACATCTATTATGATGTTTTTAACTAGTCTTCATGCAGTTTGCAAGCATTTCACCCTTGCGACTGTTCCTTTTAATTTCCGTTTAACTAGCTTCTTCATTTTTGTGTACTTCCCCTTTATGAAGTTGAATGCTACTGTAGTGGGTTTCTTTGGAACTTTTCCCCTACAAGGATGTTAATGATCACTATTACCAAGCAGGTCAGCTACATTCACCTCTTCGGCCAGATCCTGTGCTGCACTTAAGACTAAATCAGGTATTGCCTCTTTCCTTGTGGGTTCCAAGCTACTCCATGAAGCAGTCATTTAATGTATATAGAAATATTGTCTCAGCATCTCTTCCTAAGGTGATACATACCCGGTCAATCTGAGAATAGTTGAAATCCCCCATTATTTTTGCAGTTTCTGCCTTTGTAGCCTCTTTAATCTCCCCGACCATTTCACAGTTACTGTCGCCATTCTCATCAGGTGGTCGGTAGTATATTCCTCTTACTATACTCTTATTATTCAAGCATGGAATTTCTATCCATGGTTCTATGGTACTTTGGTTCATTGAAGATTTTTACATCATTTGACTCTGTGATTTCTTTCACATATAGTGCCACTCTCCCACTGATGTGACCCACTCTGTCATTCCTGTATATTTAGTGTGACCAGACAGAAAATCTGAAAAATCGGGACAGGGGGTGGCAGGTAATAGGAGCTTATATAAGAAAAAGACCCCAAAATTGGGACATCTGGTCACCCAATATATATATATATATATATTGTACCCTGGTTACTGTGTTCCATTGATTATCTTAATTCCACCAAGTTCCGTGATGCCTGTTATGTCAATATCCTCATTTAATACCAGGCACTCCAATTCCCCCATCTTAGTATTTAGACTTCTAGCATTTGTATATAAGCACTTGTGCATTTTGTCAATATTCTGTTGCTTGCTTTCATGTGTTATATTTAAATATTTTTTTTTACATGTGATTGTTCCTCACTAGCTCCTACATGTACTTTACCAATTTCTTCCCAGTCCTCTTTACTAGGATATAGAGTTCCCCCTCTAATAAATTCATCCCTAATATGCCTAATGCCCCTCTTAAAAGAGATTTAAGAGAGTGCTATGTTCAGTAATGACAACAAGCAGATGTCTTTCCCATTCTTGTGGGTTAACTATTGCACAGAGTGACCTGAAGAAAAGCTCCGTGTACTCGTGAAAGCTTCTCTCTCTCACCAATAGAAGTTGGTCCATTAAAAGATATTACCTCACCCACCTTGTCTTTTTAATATCCTGGGATGTTGTAACATGGCTACAACAGCATTGCATAGCTGCATAAATCCCAGGCCTTTCCACTAGTGGGTGCAGGAAGCTTGAGAACAAAATTCTTAATTAAATCAGTGGCTCTTTAAAACAAATTACTAGAATATATACAAATGAGTTATCTGTGACCTTTCTAAGTTCACCTCTTACTACAGTGAGAAAAATATTTAACTTAGGGAAAGGAATTAGTTTTCTTTATTTTTTCAATAGATTTTAATTTTTTTCTCTCTTTTTCTCAATTATATTTAGATAGTGAAATAAGACTGGGCAAAACAAAAGCTCAAATAAATGGGTTTAGATAGAGGGGGGAGTAGCTTGTGATGTGACCACAGCTGACTCTGACACGAACAAGCAAGGTTCTTTCTGTGCTTCCAAATAGATAATTAGTCATTATGTAGAGTTGTTAGTTTATATTCATGTCCGGTCTGAAAGTGGACCTCAGCCAGAAGCCACACATTCTTTCCAGTCCCCAACCATCTGTGCTTAATAACCTGGCCATATTGGAGAAATCAATGACACCATGCCACAGGAGGGACCATACAGCCAGAGGACGGAGGAAATTACAGTTCATTATTTGTATTACAACAGCACCTGTAGGCCCGATCATATTTAGGCACTGTACAAATACATATCAAGAGACAGTCCCCATCCTATAGAGGTTACAATCTAAATGGACAAGACTGATAAAACAAGTATTATTATCCCTATCTCCCAGATGAGGAATGAGTCACAGAGAGTCAAGTGACTTGCCCAAGGTCACAGAGGAAGTCAGTGGCAGAGCTTGGAATAGAAGCCCGGTCTTCTGAAGCCCAGATCACTGCCTTAATCACAAGAACACCTTTTTTTCCCCACTATGTGAAGAGATTTCAGCTCTATCCCTATCGTCAGGGATCTGCAGCTTTTGGGACCATTCTCTGCAGGTTCTTGACCTAAGCAACCCCATTCCTTTCCCTTTCTGTTAGGTCACAAACCCTGACTCATCGAAGAGATGATTACAAGAAAATATCAGTATAAAAACTTGTCACTCTTCCCAACCCTCTCCCCTTTCCTTGTTATTTTTTACCAGAGGAGAAGCTGTAGCCCTGCAATTTTATAATAGAACCTTTAAGTGATTCTCTCCTGAAATAGCAAAATAGGATGGGCCAAATCCATTCCTGGGGTATACAGGGAGTGACTCAGTTGAAGCCAGGGATTAATCTGATCTTCCAGCAGTAACCTGACAGTTAACTCCTATCTCAAAATGCTTCTGTTACTGTAATCATGATTGTAATTATTTTGGAATGTTACTGAGTGGATGATATGTCAGTAATGACACAATTGCTACCTATTGCACCAAAAGATTACCGGGGGGGGGGGAAATGTACTTCCTCTTGACAGTGCAGCCAATAATCTATTCATACAGTGCAACGTATAAGCCAATAATCTATTCATACAGTGATTTGATAGGTGCTGTGTATTTTGACAATCTGGAATGCAATATACTGTGGGCACCATAAAAAAAATACAAATGTATTGGCTGCAATAGTTAAATTTACCACAATATTTGTGTATTTCTCCTATTCTAAGCATAGGAAATGCCATGATAAAGTCAAATACTAGTTTATATTGTATACTCATTATATTGTAAATATTTTTGACCGCTCAGTACAGACTATCTAAATAGTGATGCATGTTTTCCTTCACAGTTTTCATGAATGCAGCAATACCAATTGCAGCTGTACTTACAGTAAGTATGAACTTTTTTAAATAGCAATGTTTACAAGCCAGGTCTACCTGATTTTCTTAAAGCGAAGGCTGGTAGATTCCAAACTGAGATCTGTCAAATGCTACACCAGAAACACCTGATTTCACTTGCTTTTGCTAATTTAAAAAGAAGTGTCTAAGGGGGTTATTAAATATTACTTTCATAGTGGCTAAAGGGGTAAGCTGTAGGCATGATGTATCTTTCTTTTTAGTAAGGATTTTGACACAGTACCACATTATATTCTCATAAGCAAACTAGGGAAATTTGGTCATGGTGAAATTACTGTAAAATGGGTGCAAAACTGTTAAAATACCATATTCAAAGAACAGTTATCCATTGCTGGCTGTTAAACTGGGGGGACAAATCTTGTGGGGTCCTGTAGGGATCCGTCCTGGGTCTGGTACTATTCAATATTTTCTTTGATGACTTGGATAATGGAGAGGAGAGTATGCTTATAAAATTTGTGTATGACCCCAGGCTAGGAGGGGTTGAAGGCACTTTGAAAGATAGGATTAGAATTCAAAAGGACCTTGACAAATTGGAGAATTGGTCTGAAATCAGCAAGATGAAATTCAATAAAGACACATGCAAAGTACTACACTTGGGAAGGAGAAATCAGATGTACAAATACAAAATGGGAAATAACTGGCTAGGTGGTAGTACTGCAGAAAAAGATTTTGGGTTTAACATGGATCACAAATTGAATACATTCTGGGGTGCATTAACAAGAGTGTTGTATGTAAGATATGGGAGGCAATTGTTCACTCTGCTTGGCACTGATGAGGCCTCATCTGGAGTACTGGGTCCAGTTTTAGGTGCCACACTTCAGAAAGGTGTGGACAAATTGGAGAGAGTCTAGAGGACAGCATGTTTTAGTCTTGAGAAAAGAAGACTGAGGAGGGATCTGATAAGTAAGGCTGCGATTCTGTCACGGAGGTCGTGGAAGTCACGGTTTCCGTGACTTTCGCAGCTGTAATGGCTGGTGCGGCTGATCCCGGGGCCAGCTGCTCAGGCGCCCCGCAGCCAGCCATACCAGGCACTGCTGGAGTGGCCCTGGGGCCAGCCACACCGGCTGCTTCCCAGGCGGTCCTGGGGTGGCTGGCCTCAGGGAGTGCCCAAGCAGTGGTCCATGGGGCCAGCTGCACTGGCCGCTGCTCAGGCGGCTGGCCCGGGGGAAGCACCCGAGCAGCGGTCCCTGGGGCCTTGGAGCAGGGGTGGCTGGGGGTAGTCAGCCCCCGCGGCCAGTACAGGGGCTAGCCATCAGCTCGCAGGCCCCCACAGCAGCGGTGTACTGAGCGCCCCTCCTCCCCCCGGAGCAGCAGCTCCCTGGGCCCTAGGAGCTGCTAAGTTTTAGTCAGGGGTATTTATATAGTAAAAGTCATGGACGGGTCATGGGCCCTGAATTTTTTTTATTGCCTGTGACGTGTCCATGACTTTTACTAAAAATACCTGTGACTAAATCTTAGCCTTCCTGATAAGTCTTCAAATACATTACGGGCTGTTTATAAAGAGGGATTAATTGTTTTCCTTGGCCACTGAAGGTGAGATAACAAGTAATGGGCTTAATCTGCAGCAAGGAAGATTTAAATTAGATATTAGGAAAAACTTTCTAACTATAAGGATAGTTAAGCTCTGGAACAGGCTTCCAAGGAACTTTGTAGAATCTCCATCATTGGAGGTTTTTAAGAACAGGTTAGACAAACAAGTGTCAGGGATGATGTAGACATATTTGGTCCTACCTCACCACGGGGTTGGATTAGATGACCTCTAAAGGTCCTCACCAGCCCTACATTTCTATGATTCTATAATGGTCTAACCCGGTTCCCACTGAAGTCAAGCCTTTGAATCAACAGTAACAGAATTATATGGAACAAAATCCTTATTCTTCCCAGGCTCACCACAGATCTGGGACTGTGTCTGCACTGAGCTTTTTCTTAACCTTTTCCACAGTGGCAGAAGCCCTAGTGCAGGTCTACTGGTGGTAGTCACGGTGGGAGCATGAGTGCAGACAACACCACAGGCATTTTTATCGTTGTATCCTCTAACCCTGCTTAGAACAAGTCTAGACAAACATGATTGTAAAATCACTGGCACCTTGTCTGCACTTGTGCTCTGCATAGGACTACAACCTATGGAGCTAAAATGGTTCCAGTACAATGAGGAAAAATTTTAAGTTCAGTGTAGACCAGGCCTTGAGGAGAGAAAGACCTTAATGATTTGCATGTTGAGGAGCAATTACTGAACTCATGCAATAAATATCAGAAAATAGAATCCTGGGGGACTTTGTTTGAACGAGACTGGATTGAAAACTGTGCAAGGAGCTCAGAACATGGCCCACTATGGATCTAGTTATTCAGGACTAGATATTCTGTATATGGTGTGACATGATCTGAAGTGCCATTCTAGCAAAGTTTATTTTTTTCTCAATCATAAATGATCTCGTCATTAAATGTTTCCATTAAAGCGTATATGGGTCTTGCCTGTTTGTTCGTTCTTTTATTTATTTGCTCCTGCAGCTCAATTCTCTGGGGCGCTGGCCAGGTGCCCCAGGGAGCAGGCTGCACCATTCAAAGGGATGGAGCAGTGTCCAGGTCCCTCCTTCTCACTGCAGAACTATGGGAGGGATAGTACCTCTGGGACACAATCCCTCCCAGAGCTCTTGCTATGGTTGGGTGGCTCCATATTAACAACCCGTGTGTGTACTAGTGCTTAAATGCTACAATCTGACCCTTAGTGTGCTTGTCTCTTTTTGCTTATCATACAACCAAAATTATGTCTCTTGCCCCTGGATGAAAGGAATTACAACAATGTGAGACCAAAAGCTGAGACCCTAAAAATCTTCTTACATAACTGATGTATGAACAGCAAATTGTACCAAATGTCTGATGACTGCCAGGAGGAGCTCTGCAGTGGCTGGTTGCATGATGTTTCCCAATTAAAACAATAAACTGCCCATTACAAGATTGAGACTACAGTGCAATATGAAATGTTTCTCTGTTTGCTTCTTTTAAGACTGTAATCATTGTATCTTTGTAGACATTTGTGGTCCATGCCCACCTGACTGGAAATGCTGACTTCTCCCCATCAGTGGCCTTTGCCTCACTCTCCCTCTTTCACATTCTTGTCACCCCGCTGTTCCTGCTCTCCAGTGTGGTCAGATCTACTGTCAAAGCTCTGGTCAGGTAAGAGTTGCTGGACGAAACCTCCCTCCATTTGAGAGTCATTATTGTTCAATTCCCCAATGTGTAATTCAAAAATAATGCTGTGGTTATTTTTCACCATTATTTGGAAATTGCTTTCCAACCTCTTACCTTAAGTGTCGTCCCATGTTATGCGATGTGGGCCAAATTCTCGGAACTAGGTGGAATGGAGCTAACTAGCCTGACACTGCAGCCATTTACACCAGCAGAGAATTTTGCCCTGTGTATTTTGAACTGATAGTTACTGCTTGTTAATTATTGTATAGTCCACTGTATAGATTTTGTTGTGTAAAATGAACATCACTGTGGTGGCTACAGTGTATTCTGTGCTGCGCGCTCTGTGTGTGTGCCTGTGCATGCGTGTGTGTATAGAGAAACAGGAAATATGCGATAAAAGCTCATTTAAGGGTTGTTTTTTTTGTTTAAAATCGGCTATATGTCCCTCCTCCCACATAAAAATATGTGGAAGGGAACAAAATAATCAGAAAAGCACATGGACATTAATGTGTATCACTTGGGCTGCATTCTTTCCCCCTGATTCTGGCTGCAAGTCCAGGAAGAATTAGATTTTAGCAGGGAAAGCTCTGTGATAGAACAGTTTTAAATAAAATTTTTGAAGTCAACAGGGAAAAAATTCAGTGAATAAATTCTCAATCTGGACCAGATGAATTTCCTTCTCATAATGAATGTGCTTAATGAGTGTCAAAGTCCAACTTCCCCTGAGCCAATGGCTCATCAGGCTAATGCGGTTAAGACACATCAATTTCATAGCCAACTGTATGCAAGAGAGTGTTGTAGCCAACAATAGTGATAGCAGAACTAACACTTCAGTCTTTAACAAGCCAAACCCCCATTCATTTCAGTGGTGGTTTTGTCTGATCAAGGACTGCAGGATTGAATAAAATGATTCTTAGCACTTATCCTCTACAAAGTGCTTTATAAACATTATTTCATGTTTTCTACCTCTTTGTGACATTACATATAGTTCTCTACGGCCTTGCCAAAACAATGGGCAAGATCCTGTCTCATGCTTAATTCTACTTGTGTTATTCTAGTAGTGCAAAGGAGAATTAAACAGAGATCTGAGGATTCCTCCAGTGTGGCAAAATCATCCAGCAATGTAAAGCCAATGTAGCCAGCTCTATGTGCACCCTCCTTCCAAGAGTATGCGGGCAGTGGCTGGAATAGAGTCCTCTCCTGCAATTCCCAGCTAGTGTAGCAGTCCACAGGGGACTACTACAGGTTGGCAAACTGGGCTTGTGGCCTGCATTGGATCCGTCTCAGGATCATGGAGATTCCGATGGCCCTTACAGTACCTCACCCTGTCAGCTGCACCAAGCACATATTTGGGCACAGCTAATGATTCCACTGTAGAACTTTTCACAGTTTGTAAGTAGTTAGTGGCATGGTTGCCTCGGGACAGGGTTTCTGTTCATGCACAAATGGTTCAAACAGATTTAGGCCAGAAGGGACCACCAGATCATCTAGTCTGACCCCCTGTCCACCACAAGCCACCAACACCTGTGTACTAAACTGAACACAAATGAAATTAGACCAAAGTATTACAGCCCTTAGGAGACTCCATCATTATGTGCTACAGACAGAGAATAGGAGGAACTGAGGTTTACCAGTGTGTGAGGTCCCTGCTTACAATGGCAGGGAATTGATTAAGTAAGATTAAGACCCAGATAGCCAAGTGTCACTCTTGTTAGCAGTGCCCTTAGCTACTATTTGGTTGCCTTCTTGCTACCAAGTTATTGCCCTGTTATTTGGAATGTAGGCAGGACTGGCTCAGACTATATAACCATGTTGTGATGTCCTCCTTCCTCCCTGCTGTCTGTGTGGTAAAGAATCTCAGAGTCCATTGTTCTGTTACTTGTGGAAACACAACTGCAGAGTGCACACAAATCAATTGTTTGCTGTAATTGTGCCCTTCTGTTTCATCTTTCTACTAATGAACATCTTATCAATAAGGTCAGATAAATGTAACTTAACCTAATAGAGTATATATTTGGCTTTCTTCAGTCTCCAAGACAACCTGAACTGGCCTCTAAACAAACACACGTGTGGTTTGTTAAATAGCCAGCAAAAACTGTCTGATTAAGTGAAGCAAAATATGTTCCAGGAATGGGACCAGCCCAGGAGGAACACAAACTGGGACAAGATTGCAGTGATATTGACTCTTCACACTTCCATTTCACAGCTCCAGGCAGGTTAACATTGGCCAGAATATTTAATACAGAATGATCTACAGGATAATGTATCCTCTCTAATAACCTTGACAGCTTTTTTGATTCTTCAGCAGTGTCCGAATTAAAAGCATCATAGTGGATTTCACTGACACTGTCTAAACAAATGTCAGTTAAATTCATATTGGGCCCAGTCCAGCTGAAAAACAGCTTTAAGGCTTTTGTGCCATATGGTATCCATAAACCTCACAGGACAAGTAGCCTGGGAGACTGTTTATGATTCAGAAAGGGAATTACCCCCTAGTGGCAGAAAGGTCACTAACAAGGTGAGGAATTCAGAAGTGTCTATTTGAAAAGCAGTTTTAATCTGCATGGTGTTTGGTATAAAAATAAAACCAAGCAGCTGACTGGTTTAGCTACTGCTAAAAGGTGGAGAAGACATAAAGGATGAAGGACACAGCCACACAACTTTTCCTCACTGGAGGTGTATAGTAGCAACCATGGTATTTGGTATCTGAGTGGGATTCATATGAAACCACATGTACAATTAGCTCTGCAAATGACCACCATAGCCTAATCAATATGTCCAATCTGATGGTTAAAAATAAGATCCCTAGTGGAGATATCAGAAATCCAGAAACTATAGCTTCAGCTTGTGAAACTGCTGTGTCAGCCACAGCGCTGTAACACGTATACATTTAGTACTTAAAAGAATGTAACCGTGTAGCACTATGGGAAGCAAGTCATCATTCCTCACAGGATTAAGTTGCCATTTTTGACGGTATGTGCAGCTGCAGCAGCAACAGGAGGAGAAGGAGAATAAGCTGAAGGTTAGGAATCATCTTAGCAGCTAGAAGACTTGTCTCATGTTCTGAGGTAACACTGTTGACACAGTACCTCCATCTTGATGCAAAATCTAAGAAGGAGCAGAGAGGGCAAAACATAGGATCAGAGGGTGCAAGTGTGTCATGGCTTTATATGGGTATATAGAGAAGAAAAACATGCTTGCAGCCTCTCACCCTTCCTTCCCAGTGCAGCTGCACAAAGGCCTCTCCTATCTGCAGTCCCTGTCCACGGAGGGGCATGGGAACTGCACATCTCCAGAGACACACAGCACTCCAGAGGGGCCATGCTCCTCACTCTGTCATCTGAATCAGTCTGCAGGACTGAGGAAGCAGGCAGCATTATTCTAAAGGATGATGCAGCCTAGGTAGTCTGTGTACTCATGGGGTAGGCCTCATGGGGGTGGGGGTGTGTACAGTCTCTCTCTGATTTTCCGAAGAAGGAGAATGGGCATACATCTCCAGACCAGCCCCTACACAGGACAATGGTTAAAACCAGTTTGGCCCAGCACAGTCAGTTAGAAAATCTTTAGTAGATTATTTAGTGCACCCCACTGAAAGGACAGGATTGTTCCCAACATTATTTTCTATTGCTTTGTCCAGTTTAGATATAGTGACAGGATGTTACCACCTCCTCCCTTGGTTTAATAGACCTCCCCATTGAGAACTGTTGTCCTGGTATTCATCATTACTCTTAGCTAAATCCCTTTGCCCCACACTAGATAATTAATTCCCCTCTTTGGTTTTTAAATTCTTCAGCTTGTAGACACTAAACCAGATTCACTCCCTAGTCAAGCAAACCATGGCATTGGTCCCTTGGCCACAGGAAGGTTGCCCAAGGTGGACAGGTGGATTTGTGCTGGCACTAGGGCCCAGCAACTACCTCTGTATTGGGGAGCCCACAGGTGGCCTGCACCAATCCCAAAGTGGGCAGTGGTGGCCGTGCAGGGAATGTGTCCAAGGCAGCCACAGATGAACTGATTCAGATCATCAACCTGGTAAGTGGAGCTCCAATGGAGTCCTTAAAGGAAACTAAAGCTAACCTCCCAAGGAGAAACCCCCAGTGAGCGAGTGCAGTAGAAATACTGTCTGTTGTCCTCACCTAGGACTCCCCTGCCCAGAATGGCACACCAAGGCACAGTTTGCACCTCACTATGCTAATACGGCACAGTCAGTGTAGCTCCTCACATTTGCGCCCATTGAGCCGAGAGACATATTTAAATCAGTTATTTCAGTCCTCCTTCATAAATCGGTACCTCCAGCACCTCCTCGTTTTGGTTGCTGTTATTTGAACTCCTTCCCTTTTGTCACAGTCTTTTTGGTACTGAGTTGTTCAGGATTTAACCCATTATTCTAGTGCTGCAGACTGGATTTGCCTATTGTCTCAACAGTGTATATGGATGGACATTGTAAAGCATGTGCAGCCACTCAGGAGAATCAACATCATGGGCTGTGATAGGATAAAGATATTTAGCCTCCTACAAACTAAATGTTAAATATCCAGGGAGTATTTTGTTCATTCTTCTTTAATACTGGTCTCCAGGATTCTTTTTACAATTATATTTGTTAGGCAGGTCTGCCTCTGTAAACACACTGGGACAGATTCATCCTTAGTGCCACAGTGGGCTAAATTCATCTCTGAAGCTGACACAATAGATGAATTTGGCCCATTGGAAGTAGAACAGGCTCTCCCGAGGTCCTAATTCTTGTCAGTTTGCTCAGGACTAATTGTGTGGCACTTCATTAATTTAAGTGACCTATTAATGGTTTTGTTTAGCGTGTGGCTTCAAAAATGAGCTCTGATTAAGTTTAATCTCTATCTCACTGTTTAAACTAAAGAAATATTTTGTCCTAATTTCTCCTTTCTTGACACTGATGATGAGAGTAGAAGGACCCAAAAAGTATCTAAAATAATTATTACAAAGTCATTGATCGTGATAGAGAACCCTGCACAGTTTTTAAATTTCACTGCAGAAACATCATTTCTGCATATTTTTATAGAGAACAAATGTATAAGCCACCCAGTAAACTGAACAGCTGGGGCACTGCAGTGGATATCCTCTAATGAACTTTGCACTGATCAAAAATTTTGCATTCTACATTCTGCCCGATCCCTTTTCTCTGCTTTCAGTGTGCAGAAACTGAGTGAATTTTTGTCAAGTGAAGAAATTGGAGAAGAGCATGATAAATGTTCAGAGCCAAGATGTGCAGACAACCACAGCAAATACCAGGTGGTTGTAAGTAATAATGTTCAGTTGTACACTGTGTGGGTGGACTGATTTACTCCCCTTGCTAATTCCTGACAGATCACTCCAATAATCTTGTTCACTTCCTACTAATTAATGGCTGCAATTGCAAAAATCCATCTTAATATCCCCTGTTTCCTGTAGATCATAACATGAGTGTTTTGAAGGCACTCTCCTGGTCTCATCACCATTCACTATGTATTTCTGTCTTCCTGCTCCCGCACAGCCCCTCAAAGTTGTTAACCGTAAGAGGCCTGCCAGAGAAGACTGGAACAATTACAACTCTCACATGAGAAGACCTGTTAACATCACAGAAGGAGATGATTTTTGTGTAAAGGTGATATTAAGGTCACTCTTTCTAATAATGCTGTTACTAAATTTGACTAATAATCATTCTTGAACTCCTACAGCATGGTTCCAAGTTCAAAAATTAATGGATAACCTACAGCTGCCAGACACCTAATTCCACTCAAAGAAACCAAAGGCAAAGAGTAATTTTTATCCCCACTGTTTCCTAAAGAAGCTGTTGCCATCCATTTTGCTTCAAGTAAAGAAAACATTGCTGAATTGATTTTCAATGTATTGCTTTTGAATAGTTGTGTGTATGTCCTCCTTAAAACTCCTTCAGCCTTTCTACATTTCATGTATTTTTGAATAATTAGCCCTGACCTCAAAACAAAAACCTCCAGCTTCTCCAAAGAAAGGATTAGAAGCCCCTAATCCTCTTTAAAGATGGATGAGTCTGACTTGCTATAGAACTGTCTGGCAGCAGCAAATGTTGATGGCTGTTATAATGATGGAGTTATTTATTTAGCCTGTCTGTGACAGCATGTGCATCCCTGTCGCAACAAAATGAGTGATATCTGTGCTAGTTCATTTACTACTAAAGGGACTAAGTAGGACAACTGGTTAGTGCATTAGCTGTTACACTCCAAAGACTCCGGTACATATCCTGACTCAGCTCAGAGGTGAAATGGGATTACTGTTCTGATTTTTGAGTCCTTGAGCCCTTCTGGCCTGGGGCAGACTTCCAGAAAGATCTTCTCAGAGATCCACTCTTTCTGGGGAAAAGAACATCAGGCAGTGCTGAGACAGGAGAGAGAATTTTGCAGACCCCAGGACTCTGGAATGGTAGTGATATAGCCAGAGACAATGAATCATAGAATATCAGGGTTGGAAGGGACCTCAGGAGGTTATCTAGTCCAACCCCCTGCTCAAAGCAGGACCAATTCCCAACTAAATCATCCCAGCCAGGGCTTTGTCAAGCCGGGCCTTAAAAACCTCCAAGGAAGGAGACTCCACCATCTCCTAGGTAACGCATTCCAGTGCTTCACCACCCTCCTAGTGAAATGGTGTTTCCTAATATCCAACCTAGACCTCCCCCACTGCAACTTGAGACCATTGCTCCTTGTTCTGTCATCTGCCACCACTGAGAACAGCCGAGCTCCATCCTCTTTGGAACCCCCCCTCAGGTAGTTGAAAGCAGCTATCAAATCCCCCCTCATTCTTCTCTTCTGGAGACTAAACAATCCCAGTTCCCTCAGCCTCTCCTCATAAGTCATGTGCTCCAGACCCCTAATCATTTTTGTTGCCCTCCGCTGGACTCTTTCCAATTTTTCCACATTC